TATATATAATATTACATATGAGCCTAGAACTTAAAACATGATGTGGTTTTATTGTCATAACTAGGTAACAGACTATGCATTAATCAGTAATATATATGGTGATATAAATAGTATTATATATAACAGTATATAACATGCTATATATCATATTGTATAATGCATATTGTATATTTTACATATTATTAAATAGTGCATAGCCTATTAGTATATATGCTAATATATTATGTATTAATATTATATATTATTGATTAATGCATAGTCTATTAATGGCCTAGTTGTGGCAGTAAAACCACATCATGTTTGTAAGTTCTAGGTTCACTCAAGGGGAAAGAATTATACAAAGTGTACACTCCAGGAAGCTAGAGTCTTGGCTGTTGTCAAAGTCTGTTTATCATTTCCGCTGGATTATTAGGTTGGATCTCAGAAACAGGACTGGGCCAGGCAGTGGTGGCGCATGCCTTTAATCCCAGCACTTGGGAGGCAGAGGCAGGCAGTTTTCTGAGTTCGAGACCATACTGGTCTACAGAGTGAGTTCTAGGACAGTCAGGGCTACACAGAGAAACCCTGTCTCGAACCCCCCCTTCCCCCCAAAAAAAAAATAAAATAAAGAAAAGAAATAAGACTGGAAAGTTCAACAGTTTTTGATACTGGCTTGGCTTGCCAATTTTTTTCTCCAAAACCTATGGCGATGTGCCAGTAATATGTTCAAGGGGGAATTGTCAGGTTCTTGGTTAGTTTCTCAGACTTGGGTTCACCAGGTAAGGATCGATGTGTAGAGCATTCTTGCTGATTAGCCCTGCCATCCCCAGTAATAGGTAGTGTTGGCTGCCCACTTGTCCTCGTTCGTGATGCCTCCTGGGATCAGCTTTTACAGGAGACTGTGTCGCTTGTGTCCAGCGTTCTTAGCAAAGACCTTGGCTTAACTTTGATGGTGAAAGGTTCTACACCATCACTGGCTCCCTTTCCCCACTGTCAGGCATCCAGGGTTAGCTGGAGAGGGAATGCCCACTCCTTCCCAGGGCTCTGCTTAGTCTTTGCTTCCTTCCTTCTCTACTTCTGTCTTCTAGGAATACTTCATTTCTCCATCAGTAACGGCCCAGGAGCAAGTCTGCCGTGTTCAGAAACTCCACCATATTCTTGAGATACTAGTCATCTGCATGCTTTTCATTAAACCTCAGCATGAGCTGCTCTTTGCTCTAACACAGTGAGTAGTTTTTCTTTCGTTTTTAGATGGTGTCTCATTTGCAGCCCAGGCTTACTGGTGTGAGCTGTTACTTAGCTACATTCTCAACTCAGATTGTTTTTATATAAGAAATCAGTCTATATAAATTTTTTGAAGTGAATGAGATTTCCTTGACTAGAAAGAAAACGTCTTTAAGTTTTGTTTGCAGAGGATGGAAGGTAGGCGTGGGGAGGTGGTGTTTGCTACTATTCTGGCTGTGAATTCATTCCTTCTGTCCGTGTCCTGGTTAGTGGTAAAATGTTTCCCTAGTCTAGAAAGACTTTATCTTTTCTGACAGCTCTTATTCCCAATATCGATTGTTTTATCTTTTTAGATCCTGCATAAAATATTACAAACAAAATCCTCTTGATGAGCAACACATTTTTCAGTTGCCGGTCACACCAGTTGCTATAAAGAATTTGTATCAAAGGTAAGCAACTTAATAATGACATTGTGCCTTATGGGCAGTTTGGGCCATTTCCTGTAGGATTCCATGACCCAGTGTGGCTGAGCCTGGTAGTCCTTGTCCCACTTGCTGACTCATGGCCTTTCATATTGCTTCTTCCAGAATTTGTGTCACTTAAGACTTTTGAGCCTCTAGTCTTTGTTCTGTTAATTTATAGTTCTGTCACAAATCTCAGGCGAAATAAGAGAAGAAATGACAGACTGAGAGACAGTGATGAGGCTAGACAGGCACAGCAGGACCAAGGGTGTGGCTGTGAGCGTGAGAGAATTGTGCACTCTTGACACGCCAGTGCTATTCTCCCTGACATTTCTTTCCTCATGTCTGCTTCTTGACGCTTCTGTCATACTAAAAGTTTGTACCATCATACCCAGTGATCAGTTGATTTTTGAGATGGGGTCTTACTATGTCACCTAGTGGCTTTAAATTTTGTTGTCCTGTTTCCACTTCCAAAGTAAGTGCACTGCTGAGTCCAGCTACTAATGGGCTTTTTTTTTGCCAATTTAAATGAACAAGGTTCAGATAAATTGCTTTTGCCTGGGTGTGATAGCGCATGCCTATAATTCTAGGGCTCAGGTGGGTGCCTCTCATGAGTTCCAAGACCAGCCTGGTCCACATAGTAAAGTTCTAGGCCAAACAGAACTACAGACTGAGTCAATGTCTCAAAAAAGGAGAAAAGGGAGGTTGGGGATTTAGCTCAGTGGTACAGCGCTTGCCTAGCAAGCGCAAAGCCCTGGGTTCACACCTCAGCCTGGAGGCGGGGGGAAGGGGGTGGAGAGAAAAAAGAAATCAAAATAGGGGTGGGCACATAGCTTACTTGGTCAACGCCATATGACCTGAGTTCAACTCCTGGAGCTCAGCTCACTTACATGGTTCAAAGAGAACTGGCTGAACTCCACATGTATACCCTGGCATGCCTGCCATAGCAACACACCACCCATGGACATTCTCACATGTACACTAAATAAATAGAAAGGTGGGTGGACGGATGTTTAGGAAAGTGTGGGGTTAGAAGATAGCTCAGCTGGGAAATAAATCACTCACCGCACAACTCTGGATGACCTAAGTTCTTTGATCTTCAGGACTCATGTGATGGCTTGTATATGTAATTCCACCTGTGGCTAAATGGGAGACAGACAGGAAAAGCCACTGGAACCCCCAATACTCATCAAAGTACAGCAGAAATAGTGACAGCCTGTCCTCAAAAAACAAGGCAGAAGCAGAAAACTGACCGTAGAAGTTGTCTTCTGACCTTCATATAAGCTGTGGAACGTGCCTGTTTGTCTCATACTTAAATTTTTAAAAGGTTAAAAAAGACATTTATTATTAATGTGTATGTGTGCTATCTGTAGGCGAGTACATGCGGTGGCATGGGTGTGGAGATCACAGGACAACTTGCTAGTCCGTTCTCCTCCACCTCTCGTGTATTCTGGGGATCAGACTCAGATTATCAGCCTTCCATGTCTGGCACAAGCAGTTTCATCACGAGCCATCTTGATGGCCCAAAGTGAACATTAATTTTTACTACATTTATTTATGTATTCATGTGTGTATGTATATGTGTGAAGTTGGGTGCTTGTAAGCTATGGCACACATGTGGAGGTCAGAGGACAACTCACGGGAATCAGTTCTCCCTTCCCATCATGGAATCAAGTTATCAGGCCTCTACCTGCTGAGCCATCTCTCCTGCCACGATAATCTTTTTAAATTAATAAACTAAATAATTCAATAAATAAACATTTTTAAATGCTACTCTTTTATAATGCTGTTTTCTCCTCTTATGTTTTATCTTTCAAGCTGCTCTTGAACTTGTAGGTTCTCCTGCCTCAGCCTCTCATGTGCTAGAACAGCACCACACTTGGTTTGCACAGTGTTTCTCTATTAGTGTTTATTTATATATATATGATTTATTTTTAGTTTATGTTCGTTAGTGTCTTGCCTGCATGTATGTCTGTGTGAGGGTGTCAGAAGCCATGGAACTGTAGTTAGAGACATGTGAGCTGAATGTGGGTGCTGGGAATTAAACCCTGGTTTTCTGGAAAGAACAGCCAGTGTTCTTAACTGCTGAGCCATCTCTCCAGCCCTAGACTATTAGTGCTTTCTAAAAAATTTTGGGTTTTTTTTTTTTTTTTTTTTTTTTTTTTTGGTTTTTTGTTTGTTTGGAGACAGGGTTTCTCTGTGTAGCCCTGGCTGTCCTGGAACTCACTCTGTAGACCAGGCTGGCCTCGAACTCAGAAATCCGCCTACCTCTGCCTCCCAAGTGCTGGGATTAAAGGCGTGCGCCACCACTGCCCAGCTAAAAAAATTTTTCTTTGAAATGTGTGTATGTTTCTTGACTGTACTTCTCCAGCGCAGGGATTATGACCTATTTATACCCCTACTCAGTGCTTGTCACATAAGGATTTCACTGACTAGAAGGAAGAAAGGAAACAGCAGCTGTTTCATTGTTAGTAGTTTATTTATTTATTCATTTTCATTTTCTTTTGGTATTTTTTTTCTTCAGTGAGAGGCCGCAGAAATGGAGAGTGGAGCTCAGCAGTAGTCAGAAGACGGGGAAAACAGTGTGGCAGCTGAGCGACCGCTCTCCTGTGGACCACCCCACCTCCCATGGGCCTGGTAAAGACCGTCTGTAGTCATTAAATCTCTACGGGAGGGAGGAATTACAGATCTTTTCCTGAACTGTAGGTATAAAACAGACTTTAAAAGAAAATTTGACTTTTGTGCCGTAGTGAGTTTTGAGCACTAGTGAGTGCTTTTTCTTATTATCCTGGATAAAAGAATCTTTGCTGGGACTGGCTCAGCGGTTAAGAGCGCTGTTGCTCTTCCAGAAGTCCTGAGTTCAATTCTCAGCAACCACATGGTGGCTCACAGCCATCTGTAATGGGATCCAATGCACTCTTCTAGTGTGTCTGAAGACAGCAACAGTATACTCACATATACATAAAATAGATAAATAATTCTGTTTTTTAAAAAAAAGAAGAAAAGAAAAACAAGACCCTTTGCTGAATAAGGAAAGAAGTAGGGAACAGTGGAGAGGTCAGTGCTGAGATGGAAATGTCAGCTCTCTCTTGATACTATAGTCCTGGTGATACTTCGTCCCTAATCCATTCTCTGCAGCTAGAATAAGGGTTGGCAGTTCTGGTATTCTGAGATTGCCCGTGTCAGTATCCTAGTATCTTAGTGTAATTAGCTCCTCCCTGGCCTCTTGAGTGAGCACCTTAGAAATTCTTATCTTCATGCATGCTGATTGTGATGTCTTCTCTTATTCATATGGGCCTTAAGTGGCCACATTGAAATATTACAAAGATTTTCTGACAGAGTAGAAAATTTCAGATTCCTTAATCAGCAACTGGTAGGAATATTAGTAGTTTTGTATTCTTTTTGATACTGTCTTAGTATCTTTCATTTTACTCTGATAACATACCCTAATGACAGGAACTTAAGGGAAAAAAGGTTTACATTGGCTCATGGTCCAAGGTGGGGAAGTCAGGCATCAGGAGCTTAAAACAGGCAGCCAGTCACCCCTGTATTCACACTCAGGAAGCAGAGAGAGTCACCCCTGTATTCACACTCACTCAGGCAGCAGAGAGCAGTCGATGAGTGCAGGTGCTGCCGAGTTCCCTTTCTCCACTTACACCATCCAGGACCCCTGTCCAAGAGATTAAGATGGGTCGACCCACATCACTTAATCTTAACATAACCTACGGAAATCTCTCAGATATGCTCAGATGCCAAGTGATTCTAGATTCTAACGATTGGAAATTAACACCAACCAAGGCATCTCTACCACTACTTGGCCCCTGTCACCATATAATTTCTACCCTACTTTTGATACTAATTTATATCTTAGTTTCTTTTCCTGTTACTATGATAAAATACTCTGACAAAAGCAGTGAAGGGTCAATGGTTTTATTTCCTCTCACAGATCTCCACTCACCATGGTAAGGAAGTCAAAGCAGAAGGAGCCTGAGAACCTGTTGATAGAAATCCCTTAGTCAGCAGGAAAAGGCAGTGCCTGTATGCTCCTGTCAGTTTACTTTCTCCACTTTAAAGCTGCCCAGAGTTCCTGGCCCAGGGATGATGGTCTGTCCATACTGAGCTCAGTTAACACAATTAAGACAATACCCCACAAAATGCCCACTCCTGTTTCCCAGCTAATTCTATCTGTCACAGATAGATAGACATGCAGAATTCATTAAACTGAAAGAATTTTTCCTGAAAGCCATCAGTTAAAATCATGGCATGTGGTTTGTTTGTTTGTTTTGTTTTGTTTTGTTTTTCAGACTTATTTATTTTATGTATATAGGTACACTGTCGCTGTCTTTAGACATAACCAGGGAGCATCAGATCCCACTACAGATGGTTGTCAGCCACCATGTGGTTGCTGGGAATTGAACTCAGGACTTCTGGAAGAGGAGTCAGTGCTCTTAACTACTGGGCCATCTCTCCAGCCCACATGCCATGTGTCTTAAGTATGATATAACTTAAAATCTAAAGAGAATTACAAGTCAGCTCTGTGGGGGTCAGAGAGATGGTTCAGAGGTGATCTTGCAGAATAATTCCAGGTATATAGAAAGAGAAAATTTTCTGTATAACAAGAAAAAGGTTGAAAGAACAAGCAATAGACATAGTAAACTAGAAAATCATAGTCACAGCTTGTGTTCAGAAGAGGAACATGTCCTAGTATATTACAAAAAATCTTTGAGATGACCTGAGGCAGAGGCAGATGGATCACTATGTTTGAGGCCAGCCTCAACTATAAAACAAGTCCCAGGACAGCCAGGGCTATGCTTGGAGACCCTGTCTCAAAAACCAAAACATGCATGCATGTGTGCACACACATGCACTTAGAAACTCAGTGGGAGAATCATGAGCAGTTTCCAAAAGGAAATTCAGAGATCATCTCAAACATGAAAAATGCTAGGATGCTGGTGTGTTGGACCATGCTGTGATCCCAGGCACTTGGGAGGCGGGAGCAAGAGGAGCAGGAGGAGCAGGAGCCAGAG